GATGATCAACGACCAAACTAAGAGTGGATACCGAAGTTCAACCAAGGCTTCTTTAATATTGTTATTCTTTATTACTTTCAATTGTTTTCAAACATTCTAAACATAAAAAACCCTTTTTTATATTACAAAAACACTCAAACAAAAGAAACAATCCATTTAGCTTCTTTTCGTATGGGTTCAACCTTTGCCTATCTTAATTATAGTTTTGTGATTGGGTTCAGTAAGAAAAATATAAATTATTAATTTATTGGTGGTACGACATGCCATCTATTTGAATTTTTAGACTTTTGTAATTCTAGTGCGAAAGATTTGGCTAGCTTTATATTAGGGTTAGTTGAATTTGATTTCATCAACATTGTGGGTCTTTGAGCTTTAACTTCTTGACTCTTAAAAGACTAGATTTAGCTAGTAATAACATCAAAATATTGGAGTCTTTAGTTTGATCTAAAGTGGTTATAAGACCGATGTCAATTTGGTATTAGAGCTTAGGTTATTTTTGCATTTACTCTTAACCAAAGTTTGTGACGATGCCTCCGAAATGAAACTAGACAAAACCTCTATGGCTGAAATACAAATAGACTTGAAGCCTTTACAATAACAAAATGAAGAGGTTGAACGGATGATTCGGGAGGCGAATAGTCGAGAGTCCGAAGGTGGTGATGAAGAGGAGGTCTAAGCGAAGAATCTTTTTAACCACTACAAACTACATCATTCTCCAAGAAGGTAGCAACTATGCATCTTATGTATGAAGTTAATAGGGAATAACTATAACACTTTAATTTTATGGTCAAAGTAAAGATACTAGACTTTGAAAGAAGACTCAATTCTAACAATTTCATTAAATAAATACTTACGAGTAAAGAAGGTTTTTGATTTAAAAAATATTTTGGATGATAAAAAAGTCAAACTTATGGCAATCAAGTTGACTAAAAATGCCTTCATATTGTGAGAGAACTTGAAGAGGACACAAAGCTACAAGGAGAAAGGCAAAATCATGACATGACAAGATAAAGAAGGCCTTGAATATGTGTTGTGCAATTGCAATAATATTGCACGTTAAATGATATGATGAAGTTGTCCTTAAAGATAAAACAACAATGAAAGTAAATAAACTAGTAAGGAGGAAGATTTTTTACAAGAAAGAGTCAACCTAGTCTCGTAGATTTGGCTAGGGTTCTTAACTTTACCCAAGGTGGGAGACGGTATGGAGAGAAGGCACTCCGAGTGGTGCCAAAAAAAAAAAAGATCCAAAAATAATTCTAAAAGGTATTTTAAATGCTAAAAGATTGAGTATATTGCTTTAGATTTCCCTAACTAAAGAGTGATTAGTGAAGAAAAAGACTAAGGAGGTTAGGAAAGAGGTTTATGATTTGGATAAGGAAAAAAAAGGTCTTTACGGATGCTAAAGAGTCATTAATGGTTCGAAGAGCTCTTAAGGATGAAGTAGAACAAGAGGAGAGGTGGATAAGGCATTAAATCTTTTGTACTCGATGTAAATCTCTTAGAAAGCTATGTAACTGGATCATTGATAGGAGAAGTTACGAGAATGCGGTGTCGACGATAATGGTGGAAAAACTCAACTTATTGGTTATTGATCATCATAAATCTTATAAGGTAGCTTGGTAGAAAAAAAGTTATGATATTCGAGTGACCAAGAGGTGCCTTATGCAATTCTCCATAAGCATAAAGTTATCAAGACAAAGGTAGGTGTGATAATTTTTATGGATGCATGCTATATTTGGTGGGGATACCATGACAATATGATATATGAGTTATGTATGATAGATTCTAGATTGCATACTCACTTAATATAAAGAAGACAAGAATGTTCTCATGTCTATGAAGAAGGAGCTTTTGATCAAGAATATCGGAGAGGACTAAGTTTATGAGTTAATGCTCCTTAGGGCATTGGAGGCGAATGACGATGCTAAAGGAAAGTTTGATAAAGCTAACTTTGTTGGTGTCAAAATGACCAAACATTTGAGCAGAGGTGTTGATGAGTATGATCGAAAGTCATTACAAAGTTGATCTAATTATTTCCATGTTATGCTTGCTCTTTAAACATAAGGATAACTTATTGATGATGAGGTCATTGATATGGAAATTGACATAATAGGTGGGATTGTTTCCAACATCAACCCTCCTACCCATCTAGACAAAGGTGCTATTATCCAAATACAACCGAAGGGAGAAAGGACAATTACCATTGATGTAAAATAGAATCAATTAATTACACTAGAAAATTATGTCCCTAATCTATAGCATGATTAGTTATCGAAGTTACCAAGCCCTATGGTTGTCAAAATTTACAAACATGGTCACCGACGTTAGAAAAGAAATTATTGTCTCAATCATAACCACCAAAAGTGCTATTAATTATAACCTCTAAAAAGTGCAACATGTTCTTAATTTATCACAATAAGATAAACATGGAAGGGATGAAGGGGAGGTACATGAAGACGACCAAGAATAGTTTTTTCTTCTATAATGGCATAGTCATACTCAAATGTTTCCAAGCTTCCTTAGGTACTAGTAAAGGCCGAAGTAAGCTATGATAGGGAACATTCTCAGCCTTGCACCTCGGCAAACATCACACTCCAACACCTCTTTTTAACAACCTGTTTTAATCTTGCTAGTAGAATAGCTACTTAGCTCGATAGTAAGTCACTTTGAACCTTGAGTGCCCCCCACTAGAAGATGAGTGTAATTCGGTGAGAATCTTTTGCTTAAGCTCCCTGTACTTCCCACATATAGCTTGCCCTTATACCTCGGTAAACTTCTAGTGTAGAAGTAATGAGGTGGTAGTCCTCTTTGTTATAGGGTTATCCCGATCAGATTCTAAACTCGTGGAGTCTTTGCTATAGCTGGGTTGAACTTCCCTCAACCATTATGGTTTTAGCACTATGATTGTCTCCGGTTTAGTAGTGGCTTGCTTAGATTCATGTAGCCTAGATAAGGAATATACTATAATGTTTTCTCTTTTCTTTTTATAGGCTATTTGATAGTTGAGACCCAATAGTTTAGTAAGGCTCTTCTTTTATAAATTTATGTGTAATTTCTATTATATACATTTGTCTCTAAGATAAATGGCTCCTTAAAGTTAGGTAATGCCAACACTAGAGCCGTACATATAGCTTCTTTGAGTTGAACAAAGGCATGTGTAGCTTCCTTACTCTACTTGAATGCATCCTTCTTTAGTGGGTTAGTTAAGGGTCTATCGATATTCCCATAGTTCCTAATAAATTTTCTATAGTAACTATCGAGCATTAGGAAACCTTTAAGTGATTTAAGGTTATCTAGGAGTGGCCACTCCTTCATGGCTTAAACTTTAGATGGGTTATTTTCCACTACTTCCCTTATAATTATGTGTCCTAAGTACTCCACTCTATTTACTCTAAAAGAACACTTGGACCTTTGGGCATAGAACCGGTGTTATCTTAGTGCCTATAAGCATAGCCTTGAGATGGACTAAATGCTTCTTTAAAATACCAATATAAATGAGAATGTCATCGAAGAAAACTAGTATAAAGCTCTTTAGGAAGTCAGTAAATACCTAATTCATCATTGCTTGGAAGGTGACTGGTGCATTGGTTAGCCCAAATGGCATCACCTTGAACTCATAATGACCTTAGTGAGTTCGAAGGCTATTTTTGAGATGTCCTCTTCATCCATTCTAATCGATGGTAACCTAACCTCGGAACAATTTTAGAGAAAATGATTGCACCATTTTGCTTATCCATAAGATCTTCTACTAAAGGAATGAGGAATTTATCCTTAATTGTGATATCATTTAACCCTCTATAATCAACATAAAACCTCCAATAGCCATCTTTCTTCTTGACTAGTAATACCGAGGAAGCAAAGAGAGAGTGTCTAGGCTGGTTAGGGAACTTTGTAGCATATCCTTCATTAGTTTTTCTACTTTTTGTTCTTTTTAAAGTAAGGGTACTTGTGGACCTCATGTTTACGGGTTTGGTGTGTGGTTTTAGGGGAATAGTGTGGTCTAATGCATGATATGGTGGCAATTCTCTTAGATCCTCAAAGACATCTTGGTACTCCTCTCAAAGGGAAATCAAGTATGGATGTGTATCTCCTGTTGTCTCCTTATTAATCATTATAAACATATGTCTTGTAACCCCTCTCAACCCCTATTTAAATAGCTTTTACACTCGTTTCCCTATTAATAAGCTACGGGGTCCCTCTCCTCTTTCAGCCTTCAAACCAATCTTTTCACTCTCTAAGTGTATAGTCCCCTCTTTGTTTTTAAGGTCAAAGTGCATAGGGTTAAAGTGTTTCATCCAATCCAAGCCAAGCACTACATCACACCCCCTCGATCCAATATTCCTAGGTTAGAAACATAGTCTCTACCTTGCATTACCTAATGAAATTTCCTATATCTAAACTCACTCTTCCTTCGGCCCCATTAGCTACTATCACTATTAGTGGGGTAGTTTGCATTATGGATAATTTCAATTCTTTCACTAATCCCTTGTCGATAAAGTTATTAGTGCTCTCACTATCAATCAAAATACTAATACTCCTCTTTCCTACACACCCTTTGATTTTGAAAGTATCAAAGGAAGCCTTACCACTCAAGGCATTTAAGGAGAAGTCACTATCCACTTCAACTATGACCTCCTCTCCCATTGTTGGTTATTCTTTCTCTATCATATCATTGTCCAATTGCTCCCTTTGTTCCACCTCTTCTAGCATCATGTGTAGTAGTTGCTTCACCTTACATTGATGCTTTAGGAAGTATCTCGTACTCACACTTAAAGTATTTTCCAAGTTTCTTCTTAAATTTGGTTTTGTTGTTTAGATTGTTTTGATAATCCCTTTATGGTGGAAATGGTTGGTTTCGTTGGTATTCAAGGTAGTGTATGCTTGGTTTTGTAATAATGGTTATAGTGTGGGAAAGTTTTTAGTTTAGGTTATGGTGTATGTTAGGTGGTTTATTGGGGTTAATGTTTGGCTTTTCGTAGGGCCTCATTTAGCTTGTCTTACTCAAAGGCTTCTCGAAGGTTTATGGGTTTGAACCTCTTCACGACCAAACTTAGGTCTTCTCTTAATGCCCCTATGAATAGCTTGACCAAATATCCTTTAGTAAAGCTTAAATTCATCCTTTTCACTAAGGATTTTATATCCTCAAACCTTTTTGATACTCCTCCATAGTTTCGACTTGCTTTAATCTGTTAAATTCCTTCACCACAATTGTTTCTTCTTATTCACCAAACCCCTAACATAAATCCACTACAAACTCTTCCTAGTTCAATCTCCCTTTACCCTCCTTCCATTCCCGGTACCCTATATCGAGTTTAAATCTAGGAACATGATAGTCGTTTTAACCTTAACTTCATCTTTGATTTGATACACTTGAAATACCTTTTGACATTTTGAATCCACATTCGTGAGTTTTTTCATCGAAGTATTAGAAGTCCATCTTTGGCCATAGTTGGTTGGGTGCTTGGTGATAAGGTGGTGAATCTAGATTGATAAGGGTGTGTTGGTTAAGGTAGTGAGGGGGAGTAAGATTACCGGTGTATGGAGAATGAATATCTAAGAGTGTGGGTAGGATTCCTTTCTTAATATCTATATTAGCATTGGAGGAACTGCTAGCACCTTTGGATCTTCCAATGGGTATAGGTTGAAGAGCTTTCATAGCCTCCACCAACCCTTGTAAGGTTTGTTGATTCCGAGTGAGCATTTGCGTGTTTTACTCCAAGAGTTGGTAAGTTTTTTATTGTATCTTTGCTACGTCGACTTGTAACAACTAAAGTTGACCCTCTAAGTTTTTGATTTGCTCATCTAGTGTTTTGATTCCGGTACCTTCAGCCATGGTGTGGAAGCTTTGATACCACTTGTCGTGTACTCGCTTACTTGTAGTTTGCTTGAGGTTGATAGAAGGAGTTTATGTAGGCGAAAAGAAAGGAAATGACAGAGAAAAAAGAATAGAGTAAGAATAAGGAGACAAATTCGAGAGAATAATATTGGTTAAAAAATTACGTCCCTCATTATTACATTTCCCCGAATTTAAGGGAGTAAGAATGCTCTTTATGCAAGTGTAGCTACTCGGAATATTTCTTACAACCGAATGCTAGTATTATAACAGAATAAGATTGAAAGAAGAAATAATATTAAGCTTTAGGGTGTTTTAACAATAATACCCCTATTATTAATCTATTTTCTTGAACTACCCATACTTAACTAAACAAGCCCTTTGTTTGTCATTTTGGCTCATAATAATGATCGTACATTATAGTATGAATTCAACATATAATCAACTTAACGAGTGAGGACAAGTTGATAGAGAAGTTTATTAAGTTGGTATGTAATTCACAAGCTCGGCTTCGTGAAAAACGAATTGCATAACATAACAAAATACTTCCTCACCTCCATTATAAGTTTCCTGCATTCATAGCAAAGGCGGTAAGTAAGTTAGATGAATAAGTGTTACGAGATAGATTGGTGTATAAACTATCATAAAAAAGAATAATCTTTCCAATGGGCAAGAGATGAACTATGTTTTTAATTAAGAATCAATAACTTTCAAGCAATAAAGGTAGGAAGAAAGAAGGCGGATCATGATGAAGGGCTTAAACAACCTTGCATCACTATTGTGCATGAACTCTTCAAAACATATGTGACTAACCTAAGCTCTATAATGAGAATTCTTACTAGAAAATTTTGAGAGGGGCTGAATTATATGGGCTAGATTGACTTAATTGGACATCTAAGAAATTGAGGGAAGATTGAATCAAAATTTAAAGATGAGTTTTCATCAATCTAGGGTTTTTGACACGGAAGTATGGCCTATTCAAAGTTGGCCATTCTTATTGGGTCAAATTTTATGTCTTGTAGTTCCTTTCCTTGTAGTTACTTTCTTTTATATAATTTAGGTTGCTTCCTTTGATTTATACTACCTTTTTTTTTATTACAATTAGATATTTTATTTTCATAAGGATTGTTACATTGGAAGTCCATATTTTTTTAGGATTGGACTAGAATTGATTAGTCCTTCTTGAAGGTGGATTGAAATTAAGTTTCATATGGGATAATGCTAAATTTTTTATAGTCCAAATCAGACAAGTTTTCTTTAGTTTAGGCAAGATTTTGAGCATTGTTTAAGCCATCTTGAGCCATGTAGAGAAATAACTTTTATAAAATAATAAAGTTATTGAGAAATTTCTCACAATATTATTTTACGTATTCTTGTGCTTTTGCTTAGGAATCATGGGCATTATCCTTTTACTTGCTTAAGATTTTATGTTTTCTTATATTTTTGAAATTGATCACTCAAGGAGGTGCTTCATTGATTAATCAACAAGTTTTGGGTTATTCAAATTTAAGGATTGAAATTTTTGGACTTCATTAATTCTAGTGTGGAAGATTCAGCTATCCATACATTAAGGCTAGTTAAATTTAGTTTCATCAACTTTGTGAGTGTTTGGCCTTTGGCTTCTTAAATCTTAATAGAGTAGATTTAGCCAAAAACAATAATAAAAAAATAGTATATTTGGTTTGATCTAAAGTGGTCATAACTCACAAGATTGGTGCCACAATACCTATCTTTCTCTCTCTTCTACTACTTAGTGTGACTAGGGAACATTATCTTTATCATGAATAATGGAGAACATCTTTATTTGAGCATTGAGGGGAGTTCCTCATAAATAAAATCCACTAACTTTTATCATTAGTGCTAGGCACATGACAAGCTAGACAGTCATGGGCTAGGTGCGCGACAGGCCAAAAGTCTAACTAGGTATCGTGTGTTAGGCACTCCGGGCCTTCTAACCAAAGCTAGTTATATGTGAAACATGTGACTAGCCAAGCTTGTTAGGTCGGCTAGTTGCACACTGGGCATGCAACAAGGTAGGCATGCACTATATAAATGCCAAAGCTAAAGTTAGGCCACAACATGTCCGAAACACATAAGGTGTGCGCATGGCCAAGGATTACGATGTGGCGGACACACACGTATGAGGCCATAGGGCCAAGCACTCATATGCCGGACTATAAGGCCAAGCACACATGTGAGACCTCGGGCCGTGCTCTTGTGCATGTTAGGCCGCAAGCTAGGCGCTCACGCACATCGAGCCATTGGCCATGGACATGTCAAGCATACGTGAGCATGCCAAGTCCGAAGCCAAAAGGAGGTCGGTACACATAAGTGCGCCAAACCGAATGCTTGGGTATCAAAGCCCGTGGGCCCTCGAGGCTTAAAAGCCCATGAGCCTAAAGTGAGCTTAAGGCTCGAAAAGTCTTAAAATTAAAATTTAGAGAAATCTTGATAAATTTATAAAAAGACCAAAAATATAAATTTATAATTATAATTTGAATGAAATGTAATTTATTAGTATGTCATGTATCAATGTGATTGAAGCATGAGTGAATGGTATGGATGAGTCGACCTAATTTATAGGAATGAATGTTTGAAATTTTTGGATAAATATGGCCTCCGCGTCCTTCCTTCTTTATTATTGTATTATATTTCTCTTCTCATTTTACTACCCTCAAATGTAACTTGAGGTTTCTTATTCAAATAAATATAAAAGTAGAAGATGAGAATTAGAATAGATGTACGGAGAAGAAGCCAAAAAGTGAAGAAATTCGTTGGCTCATAACCTAATTTTGCCTCTTGAAAAAAATCCATTACAAACAATATGAGAAGAAAATTGAAATTTTCTGAAACACTTAATTAATAATAAAAAATGTGTAATTTACTAAGTGATGGACGTGCTCTTCTACAAATATGAAGCCCCTCGCATGCTTGGAAGGACCCACACTAGGACCATCCGTCTCTCGACAACCGATTTTGTGATGCTACCTCCGAACAAGCCACGCTCTCGGGTCTCATAAAATCTATTCACCATGCATCCAAGACCTCCCGACCAATATAAACAGAGTCACCGAGTTGTTTCGAAGACTCATAAATAACGAGATGGTTCTTTTATCGATTTTTGCTCTTGGCAAATAATAATAAGTGTTTTTCAATTTCAAATATTAAATATGAAAAGATAATCTAAAACTTATTTTAATCCTATAAAGATGGTATCATTATTTTCATGAAGCAAGATCGTGTGGAATAGCTCATCTAGAAGGCGATTATGGCACAACAAGAGGTAGGAATTATTAAGTCAAAAGTTAACCGAATTCCGTATACCTTGAGTTTATCAAGAAGAAGAAGAAAAGGTTTTATGGTGTACGCACATAGTCGGTGCATTATCTATCTTAGTCAAGTGGCGAGCAGCTCTTCCTCTCGTGACATCACATTACGCTGCCGATCCCGACTAGTGAAGAGCTTCAAAAGGACTACGAGACTAAAAAGGAAGCGATAAAGGAGATGTAGGTGATACAACATGAGCTTCAAAAGCTAGATCTCGTAGCATCGACGACTATATATAGTCTAAAATCTTAGTACGACTCAATGGCATCCTTAGTATTGAGGCTAGCATAGACAATCGAGGTGCTTATAGATCTATCGGCTAGTTAGCAGTCTATTGTTCCTTTCATGTAGCCTCTCATTTACCTTTCAGCCAATCCTCCTACCGACCCTTCCGCACAAGCATTAAGAGGAGGATATGGGATTAGACGAATATGATGAGTGATAGAACATTACATGTTTTAGACCATTTCGGTTTTCTTCTCACATTGTTTGTAATGGATGTTTTTTAGGAGGCAAAATTAGGCCATGAGCCAACGAGCTTTAAGTTGTTTCGAAGACTCATAAACAATGAGATAGTTCTTTCGTCGATCCGTGCTCTTGGAAAATAATGATAAGTATTTTTTAATTTTAAATATTAAATATGAAAAGATAATCTAAAACTTATTTTAATCCTATAAATATGATATCATTATTTTCATTAAGCGAGACTATGTGAAACAGACTTCATCCAAGAGGCGATTATGGCACAACAAGCGGTAGGAATCATTAAATCAAAAGTTAACCGTAATGCCGTATACCTTGAGTTTATCAAGAAGAAGAAGAAAAGGTTTTATGGTGTAGGCACACGATCGGTGCATTATCTATCCTAGTTAGGTGACAACGAACTCTTACTCTATGACATCACATTACGCCGCCGACCCGACTAATGAAGAGCTTCGAAAGGACTACGAGGCTATAAAGGAAGTGATGAAGGAGATTCGGATGATACAACATGAGATCCAAAGCCGGATCTTACGAGCATCGGAT